AAAAATAAGCAAACTAATTACTATAAATAGAAATAATCTGCACAAAAAGGATCAAAAATAAGCAAAATAAAACCTAACCTATCTATATATATTTCGGGGTCCTGGTTGGATATCTTGTAAGAAAAGCTGAACTATTGTCTGATGTAAACTATTAGATGAATTGGTTGTAGATTGACCTTGAGCTTAACAAAGCTTAGCCAATCTTCAGTACAGGTTACCAATATAAATAAAAAAAAATAATAATATAGAATTTTCAAACTCCATAACCTAATTCATACTATTTAGAAAATTCTCTTAAATCTATTATAAATTTACAGGTAACAGTGCTACATTAAAAAATATAATCATTCTCTTTCAATTCTAATTGTAACCAACTAAAATTAATACCATAGAAACTCTCATTATCCATAAACAAAAAAAACCAATGGTTTTTAATTTCAGATCTTGTTGAATATGCCAATAGTCATAATTCACTAACTGTTTTAATCATTGTTCTCTAGCCTCACCCTGAAACAGACAAGAATACTTCCGCTGCACAGGACTATATTGGAAAGAAGGCTCTTGCTCAAAAAGATAAACAAATAGATTTTTTGGAAATGCGTTAATAAAAACTTGTTTTGCGCCTATTGAATGCCTATTAAACAAGACGTTTTTTGATAAGAACTATAAATGCATCTTGATAAAATGTGACTTGCTCAAGAGAAGGTTGACTGAGTGAATAGTGGTGAGGTATAATTTTATTACTTCGGTGCTTGTTTCTTTCATGGATTACTAGACTTTTTCGGGAAGAAAAAATCTCTTGACAAAGTTGACATTTAGTTTCCATTGAAAAGTCTATCTGTACGTACGTACCCTGATATAATTTGAAATATCACAGCCAAATTTTGATTGGTTAATAGCATGTTTTGATCATCGTATGTGATAAAATCAAAAATTGTGATATACTGAATGGAGTCAAATCCGCCCACTTGCCTTTCATATTTCGATAATACCGAAGTAAAAAATGCCAAAGTACTTATCAAGCAACTCTAAACCAATATACAAAGGAGACAGACATATGGAATGGTTTCATTATTCCAAATGCAAAGGAGATATATGAAATTATTCCATATATTGCTCCAGATATTATTCGGCAAAATGGATATGATTCTTGGTTGACTGACTACATTCATTACATTTATTCTTATATGGTAGAGAAAGCTTTGCAATTGGAAAACGGGCTGTTGTGTGCCAAGACACTGAAATGAAAGGCGAAATTGATATAGGTAATGTTTATTGGTATTTCCTTGTAGTTGAATCTTTTATAACTAACTCTTTACAATATAAATTTACAGGCTCAGGTATTTTTAAGGATGTTTTGCACCTCTTATCTCCAAAATCGAACAGTTTTAGAATTAAGTTGTTTTTTACTCAGGAACTGTCTTGCACCCTCAATGTAAGATCCTTGCGGAGTCAGGCCAGATTATTATCGGTTCAAACAATATCATAGAAGAAAATGTGACGATTATAAACAAGTATCATATTTTTAAACATGTTATTCTACACAAAAAGTATTCATGATATTTACATCAAAAATTATTCTAGACAACCGACACCTTTAATTATTGGTGACGAAAATGTCTTTGAAGTTGGATGCTGTAATTTTTTTTTTTTTTTAATCATTTTTCTGTTGTGAATTTCTCCTTATGGATGAATAAATTTTCAGATGTGGAAGGATCCAAAATTGGGAATAAAAATATCATAGAAGCAAAAGGTATGTCCATAATCTATAATCTCTGTTTTTATGTTGAATATATGATTAATTTTGCTAATTTTGCTTATGTGAAATTTAAAAGCGAAAATTTTGGGGACTACATCATTAGGTGACAATTGCGTTATTGGTGCTGTTTGCTCAACCAAGAAGGATGAAGTAATTCCCAATAATACTATTATATACGGTGATCATCATAACCGGAGAACTCAGACAGCATCCGGAAGCGTAAGTTTTTAATTTATAGTGTACTTTGTGACCCGAAACCTTCTTTCTTTTTTTCGAAAGGTTTTGATTTTCAAAATTTACCTGCTTTCATAAATCCTGGAACAACAACAAATGATCTTTCGGGCGATGATCGTTACAAACTTTTTATCAGTTGTTCCAGAATTTATGAGAACGTAGGTTTCAAATATTAATTTGGGCTTCGGAAAACCGAAACCTGAAACCATATTATGGATTTCGCGATTAGTATTCCCGAAACCGTATTAGGGTTTCGGATTAGTATTTCATGAAATCTATATTATGGATTTCGGATTAGTATTTCATGAAATCTATATTATGGATTTCGGATTAGTATTTCCCGAAACCAACTCCCGTTTTGGGTCACATGTTCACACGTATAATTATAGCGACACTTTATTCTATTCAAATGACCAATATGGAATATATTTTTGCCCATTGAAATTTAACAATCCGACAGCAACAATCAACTCTACATAGTCGCCACTTGGATTATCTTCGTGAGGTAAACCTTGTCAGAAAAATTTAATTAAAATCGATTTATTTTAATAAATATTTAACGGTAATTTAATTATGTTAGGTGTTACCGAAATTTAATCATGTTCGGGTAAGATGTTCAACATTTATTGTAAACTAGCCTAGATTATATTTTATTTTTTCTTTACAATAATTACTTTTTTCATTTAGATTGGTGGTGCTAATACATCATCCGAATCATCGGCAGCCGGTAATCACTCGAAAAAAGCCAAAGAAAAAGAAAAAGAATCGTCTCACTAGATTTTTTTTTTACAAGAACTTGTAGGTTTTGTAATTTATTTATTGTACCATTTAACAACTATAGAATAAATCGACAGTAATGGACAACCATCTTATTCAAAATCTGCCATTCAATCATGTAAAATTTTTTTTTTACTGTCCGTACGGTCTAACTCAAAGCACAAATTTGCTTCCTGGATGTTTTTCGAAACATGTCGTTCTTACGACTATGAAGAAGATAACATCATTCACCTTAACCGTCCCCTATCGGGAATGTATCAATAATTTTAAGTTCTTTAATATAATAAAATGCAGATCAATTTTTATATTCCTTAATGCATAAGACTTTAAACTAGTGGTTGGACCCGGGTAAACCCGCGGGTCACCCGGGTGGATAAATGATAAAATAAAAACCAATTCTTATAAAATTCTATCTTCTATAATTATGATAAATATCTGATGAATTGCACAAGAACTATGCTAGAACTGATTCATAACATGCCAGTATAATATAATACATTTCTAACTCTTTTTAAACAACTCAAGCGCCTAGTTAC